CACACACACACACACACACACACACACACACACACACACACACACACACTGAGAGCAATCTGCTTTAATGTACTAGAATAAATGTCTCAGGCCAAGCCTGCCAGAGTTTGGTTTTGCTATTACAGGGCACATTCAGGGCCCCTCAACGTACTGAAATCTAGTGTTGGGAAACTACGGAAACAGTGTCACTCGCAGGAAGCCCAAATTGAATAATTTAGTGATTGGAGCTGCTCCAATTCTAACTGAAGTCTGTGCCTTCCTGTATGGGACTATAAGCGTTGAGAAACACTCTGGTTGAGGGAGTGGGTGGGACAGAATCAGAGAGGGGTTCACTACTGATGAGGCGTATGCGGGAGACTCAGAAGTCTGTTCAATCATTCCCGGACCGAGAGCCCCATGGAAATCAAGCTGCTTTGAGCGCTTCCTCGTCATGCCCGCAGTGAACCTGCAGATTCTCTGCCTTCCAGCCCCGCCAGCCCACACCACTGAGAACTATCGTCAGCCCATCCGGTCACCGCCAGTTCTCGCACTTTCCCTCCCTAATGCTGACGTCACCATCAACAGGTCTCCGCCCCACGTGCCTCCCCACTTCATCCTTCGTCACCATAGAAACACACAGAGATTCAATGACGTTTGAGGGACTAAGAATACAGATATGAAAAAAAGCACAGTCTTGCACCAGGAGAGGCACACAGCCTACGAGAGCGAGAACACGGAAACAAATCAATATAATACGACGTTAACTGAGGAATATGCAAAATACTCCTGATACAGCAAGAGTGAATTATTCCTGAACAATGTGATTTGGACAGTATTTTCCTCACCCACTATATTAGCTTCCTATTGCTGCTGTAACAAACTACCACAAACTTAGTGGGTTAAAACAACACAGATTGATTATCTTACAGTTCTGGATGTCAGATGTCTAACACACAACTCAGTGGGCTACAATCAAGGTGTGTTGGCAGGGCTGTTTTCTTTCCTGGAGGCTCTTGGAGAGAAATCATTTTAGAATCCCCTGCAAACCAGTTCTGGGGATAGCTTTTACTTGGCCAAGAGGCTCTTACAGTCTCAGATAAAGTCAAGATAATGAATAGGAGGAATTTTTCTGATGAATTCTATCTTAAATTCTTAAAAAATAATCAATAGAGGGCTTCCCTGGTGGCGCAGTGGTTAAGAATCCGCCTGCCAATGCAGGAGACACGGGTTTTAGCCCTGGTCCAGGAAGATCCCATATGCCGCGAAGCAACTAAGCCCGTGCGCCACAACTACTGAGCCCGCGTGCCACAACTACTGAAGCCCACGCGCCTAGAGCCTGTGCTCTGCAGCAAGAGGCCACCGCAATGAGAAGCCCATGCACCACAACGAAGTGTAGCCCCCACTCACCGCAACTAGAGAAACCCTGAGCACATCAACGAAGACCCAACACAGTCAAAAATAAATATAATAAATAAATTTATTAAAATCAATAGAGCCAATATATTAATTTAATCCATTTATTAAGCACCTACTATATGCCAGGTGCTTTGCTGGGTGCTAAGGCTACAAAGATCAAACAGAGAGAGTTCCTGACCTCTAGGAATCCACCACCCAAAGAGGAAAAAACAGAAATGTGGTCAAACGCACTGTGATAACTGCTCCAGTGAATAATGTGCCATAAGATCTCAGAGGAAGCAATATAAATAATGCATTCTGCTGGTATGCAGTGCTGGAGGAGTCTTGGTGAGGAGACAGGATAGTGGCCTGTAGAGCCACAAGAGAAGGTGACATTTGAGAGTTCTTCCCTTAGAGAAAAAGAGACTAAATAACCTAAATTGAATTTTCCAGTTTCATAAATACACTTTTTATAAATAGGCTAAGAACGCTTCCCAAATAATTAAATGGGAACGTGTTTGTTTGTTCTTCTGTCTCACATTATCACACATACCTGGCTAATTAAAATATGTCATTTTAGGGACTTCCTGGTGGTGCAGTGGTAAAGAATCCGCCTTCCAATGCAGGGGACGTGGACCCGATCCCTGGTCAGGGAACTAAGATCCCACATGCCGTGGGGCAACGAAGCCCACGTGCCACAACTACTGAGCTCGTGCACCTCAACGAGAGAGCCCGTGTGCCACAAACTACAGAGCCCACTCGCCCTGGAGCCCGCGCACCACAACTAGAGAGAGAAAACCTGCATGCCGCAACTAGAGAGAAGCCCACGCGCCACAACGAAGAGCCCACACGCCACAACTAAGACCCAACGCAGCCAAAAATAAAATCAAATAATAAAATAATACTAATAAATAAATCGTTAAAAAAAATTAAATGTCATTTTAATTAAAGGCATCCATGGAAGGTGGCCAGGTATCAATGTACCGATGGCCCAACTGCTCATTTCCTGGCAAGCAAGTTCCCTGAGTAACCTACCAAGGTCACCATCATCCCCAACCCAGGTGAAACTTATGCTGGAGGCAACCAGGGCTACGTGTCCTCAGAGGAAATGAGTTGCATAAGCAAGACATCCTTTCGCTGTATTCTCAGAGGACTTAGTTCCACGCCCAGGGAGAAGTAATGTGACTCTCTCGGGATGGTTCAGAGCCAAGCCCCAGACTCCTGAGGGAGAATCATTGCTTGCTAACATGAACTTTGGCCCCGGGTAGACAAATCTCCAAACCATCCCCTTCATACGTCATGTTTGTTCAAGTCAAGACACACGTATCAAATGAGAGAAACTCTGCTTTGATGCTGGAGCCACGAAACTGAAAACGACAGTCTCTGCCACAGAGGGGCTCATGTCTGGCTTCCTGACTCATTTCCCAGATGAGGAAGCTAAGGCTCTGAACTTTCTGGTTTCTTTCTCTGGTCTGTTCATGTCGTACTCTCTTCATTGAGTACTTTCCTCCCTTCCTGGATTCGCAGAGCCCAACTGAAGTCCAACTTCTTCTAAGAGGATTTCCTGACTCCTGTAATCACTAACTTTTACTTTCTCTACATTTCTATTTCACTAAGTCTGTATCTGACAACTTATCACTTAATTATACTTTGCTTTGTATTATTTCTTTAATTATTTAAAGTGTCCATCACGGAACTCCAATGATATTGTAAGCTTCTTGAAGGCAGGAGTCATCATTTAAATTTTGAGTCTGAGCACAAAGTTAATTCTCAATATTTAGTTAAAATTTAACTGATTGGATGATGGAAACCAGCTCTCAAGCAGTAATGGAAGGAGAGGAATGGTAAGCAATGCTCCCACCTTCAAAGGCTGGTTTAGTCCTAACCCAGCCTTCAAAAACCAGCTGCATTGCATTTAAAGAACCTTCCACAAGAGCATAACATAAAAACAAAAGGGTCCACATTACAGATCATATTCACAATCCATCCAATTAAAGATTGAGTCCATCAGAGTAAAAACAAAAAAAGGATGATTTATTATATGGGAGAACCATGTAAATGTCAACCTCAAAAGCTAGCCTCCCAGCATCCTAAATTTAATTTAACCAATCTATTATCCATGCATTCATCTAAACTCTTTGAGATGTTTTTAAATTAAAAATAACTTTTTTTCTTATTGCCATAAAGGATTGTTTTTTCCCCTCCCTCTCTCATCCCTATTCTTGGGGTCTGGCACCTTCTAGGAAAGCTTGATTAACAGAAGTAAGCATTTAGTAGGGAAAGAGACAGCAACTCTTTGTAACATTACAACGCCTGAAAGCACATGAATGTTGGCAGTGGGAAAGGTCTGATTTTTTGTAACCATGGCAAGGGCCTCTTTCTTTTCTCCCCTCTTCTACTTACTTGCAGGATTCAAGCCCAAGGAAATCCTCAATCCTTTTCTAACCCCTGGCCTGTCTCATCCAGAAGGAACCGATGACTGACACCCAGCTGAAGGCTATGGAGTGGAAGAAGTCTGAAGGGCTGCGTTTCCCCTGTGGGCTGTAAAAAGGCAAGTCCACTACTTTCTTCTGGTCTGTGTTGCTCTGTGTCTATATTCTTTTCTCCTGTTACAGTAGAGTTTTTCCCCTGGTACTTCGGCAGAACTTTTTCCCTAGTACACTAGGTTCTGGGAAAGGAAAGGGAAAGGGATAGGGATAGGGATAGGAAAAGGAAAGGAAAGGAGAAGCAAAAGCAAAAGCCCCATCAGGAGCAGGTTATCTGCCACTTGCCTATGTGGGGCAAAGGCTTTTCACATCCTTTATACCCCTCTTCCATCCTATAGTCAGCCAGAACCTGGCACATTGTAGGAAGGCATCTGACAGTGATCTCTTTCACTGCAGAGAAGATATCATTGAAGAATTCCAAAGAACTCATAAGGGAGAAGAGGATTCCCATTGGTAGAACCAGAAAAGCTTATCCAGAGTCTTGAAGGTTCTGTCTTTATTTACTGGCTCCTAAACTTGGCACAGTGCCTGATACCCTGTAATTATATAATAATATGGATTGATGAAATGGCTAAATAGC